AATGGATTATATGGATTATATACAGATTAAATGCCTAGAGAAAGGCATTTCTTAAGCAACTAATTAATTCATTGGTACAATGCATCAGAAGAGAAACAGTAAACAGAACAAGCTAGCAGGTAGGATTAACTAGAATGGGAGTCATGAGACCTATTTTCTATTACAAATTAGCTGTGTGATCCTGGGTAAGTCATTTAGCTCACTGGTTCTCAAACTTCTGAGGCTTTACCTAGGGTCCTGACATGAAGTTTCCAAATTTGATATTTTGTCAAATACAGATATGGTAAAAATTCATTTTGCAATACTAGGAAGGAAATTAAAATAGAAAACGAGTAGGGAAAAAACAGCTTTATAAGATATTCACTACACTGTCCTTAATTTTTTTTTTTTTTTTTTTTTTTTTTTTTTGAGAGAGAGAGAGAGAGAGAGAGATCTAATTTGTTGTTCCACTTATTTATGCATTCATTTGCTGAGTCTTGTATGTGCCCTGACCGGGGATCAAACCTGCAAACGTGGCCTATCAGGATGACACTCTAACCAAATGAACTACCTAGCCAGGGCCTCCTTGCTTTTCTCATTTCACTTTATATCTATGAAAACTTCAACAGGGACTAAGCAAACATGTATTGGAGAAATAGCATTCTGTAACCAAAACCTTTGCCTATTTCTTAATCTGAGGAAGCAAAATAGCATGGCTTCTGGATTCAGTATTGAATTCAAATCCTAGTTTTACCACTACTAGCTGTGTAACAGTTTAACATTTTTTTTGTCTCTTTTTTTATTCATCACTTCTCTGAGCCTACATTTATTTGTCTATAAAAATGTAGATAATATACCTACCTCAAAGGGATGTTGAAACGATTAAATAAAATAACGAAAGTATCTAGTACGATACAGGCATTTAATAAGCACTCAATAAATGGTAGCAGTTACCTAAAAATGAGATGAGATAGAATTATCACCAAGATTCTATGACTTTATAGACAAGCAACAGGAGAGGAAAATTATAAATAAATAAGGTCCAAGAAAACAGATATACTGAAATAGTTCACTTATAGTGGGTTAAAAAATAATTTTTTTATTTCTTACGACTTTGGATTCTGAAGGAAGGTAAAATTGGACACACACAAAAAATTGGTAGACTCATTTCTTTATACTTGCCAACTCAAGACTTATACTTTTAAAAACTGTTTTGCTTTCTTTAAAGCAACATATTTTATCTTATCTTCATCACTGAATCAGAAGTCTAGAATTGATTTTTAGAGGGCATCTAGTACATCATAACTCTACTACCAGATAGACTCAGAAAGAAATGTCTTTAAACTCATCCCAAATACTTCATTCTTAATACGTTTTATCACTTTGTTTACATAAAAAATCTAAATCCTTCTCAAATTTACCATTTAAAAATCTCATATGAATAGTATGTTATCTTTTGTGTAACAATGAGAAAAATAAAAATACATACTTGTATTTCCATAAAGAATTTCTGAAAGAATATATAAGACATTAAAGGTGTAGCAGGCAGGATACTTGGGAGCAGGGATAAGATCAAGACGTTTAACTGTAGCCGAAACCGGTTTGGCTCAGTGGATAGAGCGTCGGCCTGCGGATTGAGGGGTCCCAGGTTCGATTCCGGTCAAGGGCATGTACCTGGGTTGCGCGCACATCCCCAGTGGGAGATGTGCAGGAGGCAGCTGATCGATGTTTCTCTCTCATCGATGTTTCTAACTCTCTATCTCTCTCCCTTCCTCTCTGTAAAAAATCAATAAAAAATATATTTAAAAAAAAAAAAAAAAAGACTTTTAACTGTATTTGTCTTAATTTTACTTTGACTTATGAACTATATGAATGTAATCATTTATCAAAATGTACTAAATAACCACCAAAAAAACAACCACCTCAAAACACACCTGTATACTTCAAGTTTCACAATAAGGTTTTCCTCCACCCATACCAATCAAGTGTTTTGACCCACCATTCATGCAACCATACTCATCAACATATCATTTGATATGTAAAGTCTTTAGGCTTTACAGAATGAAATTTGTGCAAGGTTGATACTCATGCTATAACAAATCATTATAGTTAATAACATGCAACTTTTCCTTCAATAAACATCTCCAATCTCTCAAATATTTGCTCACTAGAATATAAAATTCTATTTCCTATTTCTCACTTCTGATGATAATTTATGGAATAAAGCCCTTCTGCCTTGAACAAAGTCCCCCATAAAGATTTTTTAGAAATTCACTTTCCTGGACAATAAATAAAATTTTCAAAAATAATATAGTATTGCCGTTTGGAGTGACTCAATTGGTTGAGCATCGTCCTGTGCATGGAAGGGTCACCAGTTTGATTCCTGATTAGGGCACATTGATGTTTTATCTCTTTCTCCCTCTCCCTTCCTCTCTGAAATCAATAAAAATATAAATAAATAAAACATCTATGAAAGATGAAAATAAAGATTTTCGTATTATTCATCAAATGCCAGTTCAGTGAGTGCTTCTTGGAGATCATTATTTATAGTCTTCACACTGGAATTTCAAAGGCAGTAATAAGGGAGAAGACAGCTCATCTTGTCAGGCAGAAAAAAGGTAAGAAATTCGCTTGGGCAAATTTCACTCCCAAAGGCACAGACGATACAGTGGCTACTAGATACTCCAGGAATTTCTTCTTTATGTGATATGGGAGAAACAGGACGTAGCAAAATTTCCTTTCTCCACAGGTTAAGAAAGAATCTATAGATACACTGGGCATCATTTTAGACCAGTCTCTGGGTATCCAGAAAGCTCCACTCCAAAAATGAGGTCTATATATATACTTAATACCTAAATCCTTTTTAAGCACAGAAAACTGAAGTAAACAGGAGACTAAGGGGTTCTTCTACCATTAGCCTAAATGGGTATAAGAATCATAAATAAATAATTTCTATAATAAACATAAAAACAAGACAAAAGGCATCCAGCAAGTGTGACTCAGTGGTTGAGCAGTGACCTATGAACCAGGAGGTCACAGTTTGATTCCCGGTCATGGCACATACCCGGGTTGTAGGCTCAATCCCCAGTGACGGGAGTGCAGCCGATCAATGATTCTCTCTCATCACTGATGTTTCTATCTCTCTCTCCCCCTCTCCCTTCCTCTTTCTGGAAAAAAAAAAAAAAAAAAAAAAAAAAATACATATTAAAAAAATAACAATTTCACCTCAGGAAATCTGGGGGATAAGGTTGCATAAAGCAATACCCATAAATATAGCTTGTTCAAAAGGAATGAATAATGGAATTCTTTCTGAAACAATTGGTGATCTCTGTTTGTGCTAAACATTGAAATTCAGTGCACACACACACACACACAGACAAAAGGTGTGGATTTTGCTCATAGCTTTAACCACATGGTATGCAGACTCCACATGAAATTCTGTGTCTGAGTGTGTGTGTGTACAAGCCTCACAGAAATGGTAGAAATGGTTACTTCAAAAGCTCATTTCCCAGATATAACACATGAGCCCAAAGAGTTAGAGATTTACGACTTTGGAGGCTCACTAGCGCTCTACCTCTGAAATTTAAGAATACCACTTATTATGTAAAAGCTAATGAGTGATCTTTTATCTCACCTGTGATAATTTAAAAATAGTCCAGAAAATCAAGAACATCATCTTTCTATCACTCTTAGACCAAAGCAAACCTTTCTATCACTTTTAGACCAAAGAAACTTCTTTTAAAGTTTCAAAGAAAAATAGAGTCTAAACATGTTCCCACTTTATTTTATAGATAAAAAGTATACATGTTCCAGGCTCACCTCTTGTCAAGTTTCATCAAAGATACAGACATTCAAGGGACTAGCTCCCTTACAACGCACACAGTGTTTCTTCCAAAGCAAAATGTTGGGGTCAGAATGTATGAAGGTTTTGAATCTAAAGGAATCCCTGCTTAGATCCAGAATGTAAAATAGTGAACTAACTGTATTCGGCAACCCACAAATACAGTTTCTCCTATTCCTCTCAAATACAACAGCCACGATACTTGTCCACAGAGAAATCCCTGTACTTTAGCACCAAGAACAGAGGTTAAAATAACTGGTCATAAGGGATGAACTAGGCATCTTAGAACCCAAATAGAATACTCTGAGCACTTAGAACAATAGTCATCACAGTGCTATGCGATAGCCAGGCCATAATCAAGGGGGAAAGTACATATATAAAATATCTCCTTTTCCCCTAGAGCCCAAAAATTGATGCCTTATCATCCTAGGTTGCTCAGACCTAAAACGTGTCAGACCTGACACGTAAGAGTCAAAAGAAGGACCTGATTACTAATTTCCCTCACTTCAAAAGATGTCCATAGGATGCCTCACTTTCTCCAAGCCTAAAAATCTCGGGTTCAGCTCTCCTGCTCCTCTGTAGTTGCACAGGAACTTCCTTCTCCTAATTTCATAGAAGGTCCCAGGTGCAAGGCTCACGTGATTGCTCGGGGTAAAGCCAGGAAGCTCCTTCACACTCACCTGTCTCCAACTAAAGAAGGGAATCAAGAACCCGACTTCCATACACAGGTAAAGCAGAAGGTAAATAATTGTCCAATCCCTCAACTTCAGCGAGCCCTGCCTCCCTGTCCTGTCTCAGTCTCTCTGTCTCGCTCTCAGTACCAAGGGCAGAGACTCTGGCAAGACCCCGCCCCCCCCACCCCCCCAACTCCAAAGCGGGGTAGGCGGGAGGGAAAGCCTGGCCTGGCGAGTCCTCGTTCCCGCGCGAAGCTCAGAGACCACAGGACTCCCCATTGTGGGTCTACGATGGTGACGGGAACCGGTCCGGCTCGAACCACGGGCTGAAGAGTCAAGCTGAGGGAGCACTAGGCCCGCACCGCTGCCACTGCCGCCTTGGAGCCCATCGCTGTCAGCGGACTCCGCCCGGGCAGCGGGAGGGTGGCCCCAGCCCTGCACCAGCCCACGAGCTTTCATGCCCCACGTTGTGTGGGAAGTGGGGGGGGGGGGTCCTGGAACCGTACCTCTGACACTTCGTCCTCGTCGCTGCCAGAGGCACCACCTCCACCCCCGGTCCTCAGCACAGCAGCCGCCAACTTGAAATCCAGCGCCGCGTCCCCTACGCCCGCACCACTGCCGCCGCCACCGACTCCCGGGGCAGGCCCAGCCTCCCCAAAGAGTCTCACGGTGCGGATCCCCAGCCCGACCCCTCCCGGCGGAGGCGGCTCCGAGGCCCCGGCTGGGGCGGATCGCGGAGCCACAGAGTCCAAGTCCTCCTCAAAGGAGGTGCCGCCGCCTCCGCCGTCGGTCAGCATGCTTCGCACGCGGAGCCGGAGACACTGCAGAGTCACTCGCGGCCACCGCCGCCGCCAATCCCGGGAGCGAGAGAAGCAGCAGAAGGAAGAAGCGTCTCCTTCCCCCCGTCCCAGTAGCGCCACTAACTTCTCACTGCCTAACCTGCTGCCTCCCGCCCCCCACACTCGCCACTGGCTACAGCTCCAAAGAGGCTGCAGATCATTGGCCAAAGTTACCCGTCGCTCAGGCTCTTCGTCACGCGCCGCTCGCTGGCTCGGGGCCCCCAAGCTGCGTTGACCCGCGCAGGCCTAGGCGGTTGCGAACACCCGCCTTCTATTCCGCGCGCCCTGACTTCCGGTCTTTTTCTACGTCTATTGGTCAAATTCTCTGACTATCGCGTCACGACCTTAAAGTGGATTGGTTGGCCTTGTGGTCAGTCATAGTGACGCCTGACAGTGGGAGACTTTATTGGCGCCGTAAAGTGTCGGTCACTGTGTCACAGGACGTCGCGTGGTACAATTGGTCAGGAAGAGTAATATTCATCCTGCCCCCATCTGAGGTGACGGGAAAGGGTTGGGGAATTTCCACTTTTGATAAAAATGAAGGCTGAGGTGACGACTTGCAAGAATTGGTGAGATTTGGAGTAGAATTCGCCATGCGCGCGGGAAGCTTCTACATCAAGTAAGCAAGAGACGCGGAGATAACGCAACTCCCACCTGTCGCTCTGCGCCAGGCGCGGAGACTGCGACCCGGAGGTTTGCTGCACCGCGATTGGCGGGAAAAGTAGTCAGTCTCAGCTAGGCCCCACCTTCCCGCCAGGCCCTGGTTGGAGGAGCAGAGCGTCAGTCACTAGAGCTGTCGCTCTTCTGGGACAGGTGAGGCTGCAGCCTCTAAACTATCTGCCTCAGGCTCTTTGGGCCGGAGTAGGGTAGGGGGTTGCGAGAGGTGAGGGTCAGGGCCGGTCCTGCCGCGCGCCCCCGGCCTTTCGGAACGGAGCGCAGAGCGAGGATCTCAGGAGACTCTGAAGGCTGCTCGGGGTGGCCGCCTGCGGACGATTCGGCCCACGCGCGTGCCGGGACGTGGCAGTTCTACAACCTGCGGGCGGATCGCCCCGCGGGGCCGCGTTCTCTGGCTGGTGGAAGGCAGCGGGCCCGAGGGCTGGACAGCGCCATGCCTCAGTACTGGGAACTGTCCCACGAAATGAGGGGAAAGGCACCGCGTTGAGCGCGGAATCAGACCGCGGGGCCGAACGCCGTGGTTAAAAGGCTGCGAGCGCTGGAACCGTTTCGAGCTCTGGTGCCGCCACTAGTCTGCTGTGTGACCTCCGGGCGTTTGTTGTTTAATCTCAGTGACTTACAGTGCGTCCATCAGTAAAATGCGGGTCATTTTAATACCTCCCTCATTGGGTGCTGTGAATAAATTAGATAATGACATGAGGCGCTTAGCAAAGTGCCAAACACACAGTAAAAACTCATTCTTGTTAGCTACGCTCCAGTTCTCCACCTACCCCCCAGTCCTGCCAACCGTGCTGATTCTTGTCCGAGCTCTGCGATGCAATGGAAGGCTGGCGACGGGGGTCTCGTCCCCTCTAGGGAGCTCTGCCTCTATTGTTTTTTATCTCCTTTGCCAGTAAAGAGGGGTTTAAAAATGCTCCTGCTCCAGCCAATCCTGTGAAAAAAGATCACCAGAAAGACCCTTGGTGAAATTCGTATTTGTATGGCAAATGTCCTTTGACCCAGAGAATGTCTGCATGATACTTAGCCAGCGGAGACTGGCTAAAAGCAAACGATTTGGCGTTGTCGCCTCTTTTGCAACTTTAACAAAGTACTTTGTATTGATTGTGCAATATTTAATATTTCACTCCCCCCTGAACTGGAATCTGAAAATTCTGTAAAGAATATAATGATTTTTTAAAAATGACTTTTAAAAAGATTCTGCCTAACATTTATTTAAAGAACGTTTTGAAGATTGTAAAAATCGCTTTGGTTTAGTCATTGCTCATTTGGCATTTCACATGCAAAAAAAAAGGACAGTGTTTCCTATGAGCAGAGCATGTTAGGTAAATGTTCTTCTTAGTTAATAAGTTGTGAAAAAAAAATGGGAAAAGAGTCTTGTACCTTTTCTAGAAAACTATTTTGATGTAAATGCCAAGTACACACTGGCTGTAGTTAGAATTTGTAGCACTTAATCAGCCCATATCCTCAGTGCTGTTTAAGTTTTTAAGGCCATGTGTGACTAGGTCACAGCCCAAACTAATAACACCAACAAAAGAAACCCAGCACTGCCCATCCCACTTCAAAGCTGGATAATCCAGAATTGGCATGGATATATCCTTAGGCAAAAACAGGTATTGACTGGTGCAACATCACAAAGGAACTATTTGTCATTCCTACCACCAATACAAAAATAATTTCTGATGCAACTCCCTGAACAAATTCATTAAATTCTTTAAACAAATGTAATGGAACTCAAGGACAGAGGAAATTTAGGTATATACATCTTTTTCCAGTATGAGACAAAAATATTCTCTCAGTATATAAAAAAAAATATTCCTCAATACCTAGCAACCAACCCTGCTGTTAGCCAGGAAAATACGATTGAGCAATAATCTTTTTTTTTCTCCTGGACCTTTACCTAAGTCACTGTCAGTAGTTTGACAGTAAGTATGGGAGTTAGGAACTCTCAATCTCCTAGACTTAGTGACTGCTATATAAGGTCTGTATTTAAAATCATTTAATATTTCCATATAAACCACATTCATGTGGTTTTACAAATGTGAAAACTAACTGGTGAATATATAAATTCTCACTCAATGTATTCAATGTAAAATATCAATAAGTATTAGTGTGATTTGGTGGGTAATCTTAGTTCCAATATGTTATCTCTTAAGATGATATTTCCTAATAAAAAAAGGTAATACACTGATTTTTCAAATGTTTAATAAGCTGTAGAAAGAAAAATCTTTCTTAAAAGTATTTTTGTTAGAAAAGAGCATTAGAATAAATGTTTTCCCTTAGAAAATGAGTAGGAATATGTATTGGGGTAGAATTATACTTGGTTTCAAAACACTCTCTTCCACCCTGGTGGGTATGGCTCTATTGGTTGGGCGTGGTCCCGTTCACAGAAAGGTCGGAAGTTCAATTCCCAGCCCAAGTTGTGGGTTAGGTCCCCAGTCAGGAGGCAACCCATCAGTGTTTCTCTCTCTCCATCAGTGTTTCTCTCTGTGTCTCTCCCTCTCTCTTCCTCCCCTTAAAATCAATTAAAATATATTTTAAAGGGAGATGAATTCCTGAAAACATTAAAAAAACAACAATACCCTTTTCTAACCATCTTTCACACAGGGAAGGAAAAGGAAAGGGGAAACATTGTATAGACCAAGAATTTTTAAAACTTTTGAGGTAATAAAAGACTAAATTCCTCATAAGAAATATGAGGTTGCCCTGGCCGGTGTGGCTCAGTGGGGAGAGCCTCGGCCTGCGGACTGAAGGGTCCCGGGTTTGATTCCGGTCAGGGCACATGCCCGGGTTGCGGGCTCAATCCCCAGTAGGGAGCATGCAGGAGGCAGCCAATCCATGATTCTCCCTCATCATTGATGTTTCTCTCTATCTCACTCCCTTCCTGTCTGAAATCAATAAAAATAATTTTTAAAAAATGTTTGCTCATTTTTCTATTAAATCATCAGTCTTTTAAAATTAAAAATATATATATATGAGGTTGACACACTAGATTGTACATACAGGGACTTTAGCTACAGATAGGTCTCTCATTCCAATCTGCATTTCCTCAAGATATTTGATTTCTGCATGTCAGTCGAGGCCATTATATGGAATAGCTAGGATTTGAATTTAGTTCTGCCTCACCTCAAAACACATGCTCTTCCCACTTATCACGTTGATTTCATGTTACCATCCATGGCAGAGGAACTTTGTCAGTCATTAATCTGGTATAATACTCCAAGCATTATAGCCTTCTTATGAACCCGCTAATTAACTGTGTAGTTGGAGTTATCCCTAACTATCACCCACCACATTTGCTATCTTTCTCCCTTTTTAACAGTTGGAAACATTTAACTTATCTTCTCATTTCTCCAACTATATTGTTTCTTAGACCATGTAATTTCATGTTTAAAAATCTAAATAGTTGCCCTAGCCGGTTTGGCTCAGTGGATAGGCTGTCAGTCTGTGGACTGAAGGGTCCCAGATTCGATTCCGGCCAAGGGCACATACCCAGGTTGCGGGCTGGATCCCCAGTGTGGGGTGTGTAGGAGGCAGCCAATCAATGATTCTCTCTCATCGTTGATGTTTCTATCGCTCTCTCCCTCCCCCGACCTCTCTAAAGTCAATAAAAATATATATAAAAAAATAAAAAATATAAGTAGTTAATATTTTTACATGGTTCAAATTTTAAGAATTATTTTAAGAATATGATAAAAGGAGTCTTTTACATTGCCCACTAAACACCCAGATTCCCTTTCACAAGAAAACTATATTATTAGGCTATTAAATATCATTCTAGAGATTTTATACATATATAAGCAATTCTATACATGTCAATTTATTTTTTGCCTTTTTAACACAAGCAACAGCATACCATACACACTTTTGTATCTTGCTTTTTGTCACCTAATTTATTCTAGTGGTATTCCATGTTAGTATTTAGAGAACTCTGTCATTCTTGTTTTCTGCTTCATAATATTCTGTTGACTGATTATGCCATTTATTTGTCCAGTTCTGTAATGATGGACAGTTAGATTGTTTCTCCTTTTTTGGGGGGGTGGTATAACAAACAATGCTACAGATGTCTAACTTTCTAACCTACTTTCTATCCTCCAGGAAGCACTTGTGGTAATTAATTGCTTTTCTCTTACTGCTTTTAAGATTCTGTCTCTGTCTTTAACTTTTTGCATTTTAATTATGATGTGTTTGGTGTGGGCCTTTTGGGTTCATCTTGTTTGGGACTCTGTACTTCCTGGACTTGTATGTCTATTTCCTTCATTAGGTTAGGGAAGTTTTCTATCATTGTTTTTTCAAATAGGTCTTCAATTTCTTGCTCTCTCTCTTCTCCTTATGGCATCCTTATGATACGAATGTTGGTACAATTGAAGTTATCCCAGAGGCTTCTTACACTATCTTCATTTTGGGGGGATAATTTTTTCTTTTTGCTCTTCGGATTGGGTATTTT